ATGGATTTGTCTGAGGAACAAGTGAGTGATCCTAATGAGAAGTTGGTTAATAATGCCTTCGCTCCTAAGGGAGGCATGGCCGTTGATTTTTAAGGGTTTCGCCCTTAGGTGACTATTTTCTTTTGTCTTTTTCTCATGAATATCCTTTGTTGGAATTCTAGAGGTGCAGCTTGCACTAAATTTCGATCTACTGTAATGGATTTGGTCCGTTCTCATCATTTTGATGTTCTGTTTGTGTGTGAGCCAAGAATTAGTGGTTCGAAGGCTTTGGCTGTGATAAAATCGTTGGGGTTTTCTTGTTTTGAAGTAATTGATCCAGAGAAATTTTCTGGGGGTCTCTGGCTTTTATGGAATGATGCTAAAGTTAAACTGGATATTATTGGTACTTCGGATCAATCTATCTTTGCTTGTCTTTCTTGGCAAGGTCAGAAGCCTTGGCTTTTCTCTGCTATTTATGCAAGGCCTTGTAATGTTAAGAAAGAGAAGTTGTGGGAGTATTTGAATTTTGTTACCAGTTGCCACCAAATGCCATGGCTATTGGCTGGTGATTTTAATGATATTCTCCAAGCTGAGGATAAAGTTGGAGGAGTTTCTTTATGCGAATTGACTGGTATGAAAACGTGGTTTAATGCAAACAATATGATTGATCTTGGGTTCTCTGGTCCTAGGTTTACTTTGACTAATAGAAGGGTTTTTGAAAGGATTGATAGGGTGATTTGTAATGAAAAATGGCGGAGTTTGTTTGCTGATGCTAATGTTATTCATTTGCCTAGAACAAAGTCTGACCATTGTCCTATTAAAATTTGTCTGCAATCAAGATTTTCTTCTTCTCCTCATCTGAGGCCTTTTAGATTTGAAGCGATGTGGTTGAAGAATGACAAGTTCAAGGATTTTGTTTCTCGGCAACGGGGGAATTTTGAGGGCTCTGCTTGGGAAAAATCTTTAGCCTTGGTTCAACCTTTGAAACATTGGAATATTCATGTTTTTGGTCATTTGAGACAGACAAAGGCTCGTTTGCTCGCTAGATTGGCTGGTATTCAAAGGTCTTTAAGTAGAGGGCCAAATAGGTTTCTCAATAATTTGGAGGTCACTCTTGTGGAGGAGTTCAATCTACTTCTTGAGCAAGAGGCTTTATTTTGGCAGCAGAAGTCTCGCGTGAAATGGCTTCAAAAGGGGGATAGGAACACCAAGTTCTTTCACCTCACCACTATTGTTAGAAGGAGGAGAAATAAAATTGAAAGATTTAAGGATGAGAATGGTGTTTGGGTGGAAGAGTTTGAGGCTATTAAGAGTGTTGCTGTGAAGTATTTTTCAGATCTCTTTAATCCGGGGCAGTGTTTGCAAAGTAATGTGGACATTCCTCAACTTTTTCCTTGTATTGACTATGCTGATGTGGTTGGGTTAGTTAAGCCTGTTGACTTACAGGAAGTTAAGGACAGCTTATTTGGGATTGGTGGGCTTAAAGCTCCAGGTGTTGATGGCTACCCTATTTGTTTTTATCAAAATCAATGGAGTCTTCGTGCTGGGGATATCTTTGATTTGGTCAGTACTGCTTTCTCTACTTGCATAATTCCTGAGAAGCTTAATACTACCTTGGTTACTTTGGTTCCTAAAGTGCCCAATCCTAGTTCTATGGTGCAATTTAGACCAATAAGTTTATGTTGTACTCTTTATAAAGTGATTTCGAAGATTCTTGTTGCTAGATTGAGGGTTATTCTTCCTAATCTGATCAGTCCCAATCAAGTTAGTTTTGTCCCTGGTAGACAAATTGTTGATAATATCATCATAGCTCAAGAGTTAATGCACAAGTTTAAGATTTCTAAAGGGAAAAAAGGGTTCATGGCTTGGAAGATTAACTTGTCTAAAGCTTATGACAGACTTAATTGGCATTTCATTGAGTCTGTTCTTTTGGACTTAAAGCTGCCTAGAGCCTTCATTCAGCTAGTTATGAGTTGTAGCTCTTCAGTTCAATACAAAATATGTGTTAATGGGGAATTGACTTATGCTTTTCGTCCTCAGAGTGGTATCAGACAGGGAGATCCTCTTTCCCCCTACCTATTTGTGTTATGCATTGAGAAGTTATCTCATATTATTTTTGATGAAGTGGGCAAAAGAAGATGGAAAGGTGTTAAATCTTCTCAGTCTGGGCTTTGTGTTTCTCATTTATTTTTTGCTGATGATTTGGTGTTATTTGCGGAGGCTAGTACTAAACAAGCTCAGATTATGAGGGAGTGTTTAGAGAAGTTTTGCAGTGTCTCTAGGCAGGCTGTGAATTTTTACAAATCAGCTATTTTTTGTTCTCCTAACACTGGGAGTGTACTAGCTCAGGAACTTAGTCGTATATGTGGTTCCCCTTTGACGGAAAATCTTGGCAATTATTTGGGAATGCCAATTCTGCATAATAAAGTCTGTAAAGATATCTATGGTGGGTTGGTTAACAAAGTGCAGAATCGTCTTTCTTCTTGGAAAAGTAAGCATTTGTCTTTAGCTGGTAGAATTCCTGTGTATACAATGCAAACTGCTAAGTTACCAGTGAGTGTGTATAATACTTTGGATCGGATCAATTGTAATTTTTTCTGGGGAGGCACAGAGAATAATCATAAGATTCACTTGTGTCAATGGGAGTTAGCGTGCAGACCTAAATGTAGAGGAGGCCTGGGTTTCAAAACAAAACTTAGAATATGAACCAAGCTCTTTTGGCTAAGATTGGTTGGAGGATGCATGCCAAAGATAAGGGGTTATGGGTTAAAATTTTTGAAGATAAATATTTAAAAGGGCAGAGTATTGTGGATGTTGATTTGAAAACTAGGCAAGATTGTTCCTCAACCTGGAGATGGGTTTTATATGGTCCTGAACTCCTTGCCAAGGGTTTAATTTGGAGAATTGGTAAAGGGGATGTTGTGAAATTTTGGAAGGATAATTGGATTTTGGGCTCTCCTCTATCTCATATGAGGGAGTTGTCAATATGGCTAATCCTGACTGTACTGTGTCTCAATTTTTCAAAGATGGTTGGTGGGATATAGAGAGGCTCAGAGAAGTTTTGTTTGAGGAAATGGTCCAGCAAATTATTAATTTTCCTGCTGGTTTTGGTGGTGGTAGGGCTGATGCTAAGATATGGAAGTGTAATCCTAATTGAGTGTTTACTGTCAAGACTGCTTATGAGTTGTTGGTGCAAGGTGAGCAGTGGTTGGACCCTTTTTGGAAGATTCTTTGGAAACTTAAAATTCCTCCAAAACTGCAGTTTTTTTTATGGCTGTTCTATCATGAGAAAATCATGTCTAATGCTCAGCGTGTTAAAAGGAGGCTTTCTTCTGATTCTTCTTGTAGTTATTGTGGATGGTACAATGAAGATGCTTTACATATTCTGAGGGATTGTTCGAAAGCTAAGGAGCTCTGGAGTCAATTTCTCCTTCCTAGTCAGTTTAGTAAGTTTTTTTAGGCTGATTTTAAGCCTTGGCTTATGAGCAACCTATGTTCTTCAGTGAAATGGTATGGTTGCTTCCCCTGGATTGATGTGTTTGTTTTTACTTGCTGGTACCTATGGAAATGGAGAAATCAATTTATTTTTAGTGGGGAGGATAGCCTACCTTTGCAGCCCGTTCAAATTGTTGTTGCTGCAGTTTTTGAGTGGTTTAAAGCTTTTGGTGGGACTAAAAACCAGGAATTTAAGGAGCACCAAGTTCTGTCCTGGGAACCTCCTGTCTCTAACTGGTTGAAATTGAATGTGGATGGCTCTAGAAGGGGTATGTCTAGTGCTATTGGGGCTGGGGGTTTGATCCGAGACTCTGTTGGGATTTGGCATGGTGGTTTTGTAGTTAATCTGGGGCAGGGCCAGATTTTAGAAGCTCAGCTTTGGGGATTGTTCTTTGGCCTTAAACTAGCAATTGGGAAAGGTGTAAAGAAGCTTTTGGTTGAAATAGATTCAGCCACTATTGTTAGACTTATTCAGTGCAAGGAAAGTCTTGAGTTTCATCCCCTTGCTGGGTTACTGGATTCTTGTAGAGAGATGCTGACTCAACTGGATTGTGTGGAGGTGCATCATATTTTTCGAGAGAAGAATTTTGTTGCTGATTGCCTTGCTAATTTGAGCTATAATATGGGGTTGGGTGTTTGGTTTTTAGATAAGGCTCCTAGTTGTCTTGGTTCCATTTTGATTGATGACTCTTCAGGAGTTGGTCACCCTCGTTTGGTTCAAGTTGTGTAGTTGTTGGTTTGGGTTTTGGGGTTGTTTACCCCCTGTTTCATCAAAAAAAAAAAAATCTTGTTAAAAAAATTGATGAATTCTGTTGTTTTTGTGTACCAGTTAGGCTACTCATCATGTCTAATAATTTTGAACACATGAGCTCTGAAATGCTAAGTAGTTTGTTTTTGGTAATGCTTTCTCTCTTATATATCTGGCATTCATCCTGGCTTGCATTGTGTTTTTAAAAATTCCGAGAATCCTCCCCCCTCCCCCCACCCCACACACACAAAAAAATCCATGTAGTTCGTACTAGCTTCTGCTATAATAAGCTTGTATTTAGCTTATGTTATGTGTTTTATGTGTCTTGTACTCTTATGGGGATGTGAATTTTTTGGGGACGTGAAATTTGAACTTTGAATCTTTTCTAACATTGAGAAGAGAAGTACTTCTAGACTAATAATTAGTTGGTGTGTATGATTGTAACCTTTACCTTTTCAATTTGAGTTTGGATTGTGTTTTAATCTTAGTTGATTAGTAATTCTGATAATAAAGAGTGATGAAAATATTGCAATGTACACATTAATATTTGCAAATCTTCCAATTTTAACCTTCCGCTAGTTATCCGTTAACTTTGGAACATTACAAAAAATTTAAATGAAAGAAATAGAGATAAAAAGAAATTAATCAATAAAAATTAAGTTCAATAACTTGAAGATGTATTTTTTGAAAAATAAACTAATTTACCTATTAAAAAAACATTATAAATAATAATAAAAACAAATTTGCCATTGTTGCGGGAGTTATGCCCCAAATACGAGCGTATACGACACTTTTCTTTCTACGACGATCGTTCTATTTAAATGCCAACGCAGCAGACACCGTAGTTTCCTGGCTTTAATTTCCACCGAGCCAAACAGGAAATAGCCCTTTACTTTATTTTCCGGGAAAATCGTCTTCGGCTGGAAAATCTTTTACTCGGTTTCATAAAACGACTTCGCGGAACTGGCATCACAGCAAAGCTACGGAGCAATCTCTCTGAGCTCGCAGTACATGATGATGATGAAGAAGCAGAAGAAGAAATTCGAAGGTAGAACTGAACGCTTTGCTTTAATATCAGGCAGAGTCAGAATATGAACTTATTTACCTTTTTTTGTTGTTGCTTGTTTCTGTTTGGTTGCTGAGAAATGGTGAACGACGGTTCCTAATTGTTTGAGAAAAGAAAAAAAATTGAGTTTTTAGTTCAATAAAGGAAATAGTTTAAATTTTTAAACATTCTCTGCTTGTGGCTCTAAAATGTAAAATTTTTGGGAAGAATATTAGTTTCTAGTTTGGTGTTTATTGCAAGATATTGCATTGGGTTTTCATTCTGTTTGATTGTATGATTGTATATTTTTTGTCTAGTCGGGTCTATTTGTTGCCACTTATGGTAGAGTTATATTACTCCAATTGGGGGAAAATGGTATTGATCTTAGGCTTTTTAAAATCCAGTCTTTAGTTCTTAATTCTTATCTTCTTTATGATGCCATGTTCAACTCATTGTTATTTCTTTGAACAAGGAATTTTATTTTGTGTGTGTATGTTGTGGAAATTCAAATCAATACAGCAATTATGAAAGTGATTATATTTTTTTGGATTGGTTTTATATAATATTGGGCTGTTAAGAGTGACAGTAATTACCAGAACTTCATAAATGTTAAAGGATTTTGTATCTCATTCAATAGGTTACTAGCTAGCTTGAAAGCAGAGAGATGGGAAGGTCTGAATTCAAGTGTGTGTAAGGAATGCTATTAAACAAGTGTGTGTAAGAACTCAAATGTGTTATGACATTGATGGATTCTATTGTTGTTGTGTATCATTAAGCTACTCATATCTTATCCCAAAATTCTTTTTTGCCAAAAAAAATCTTATAATTTTGGGTTTAAAGTGTTTCCTTTTGATTCTTTGCATGGTTGAAAACCAATTTAACTTGTTTTCATTATATGCATGTTTGGTGTTGCAGCACATAGTTCTTGAAATTTTAAAATCAAATGTCAAAAAGGCAAAACACTTGACAGTTTCAAAGTTATAATTATTGGTTTACCTTGAGGGAGAATAGGAAAATAGAGATTAAGAACTTCAGATTCCCTGGAACTAATTTCCTTGTTCTTGATTATAAAGGGGAACATGGAGGATCTAATCAAGATGATCTTGATCTCTGATCTTATCCCAAAAGTTAAAAATTAAAATTGAAGATTAGCTCTGAAATGCTAAGGCAATTTGTTTTTGTTAATACTTTGCTCTTATCTGGCATTCATCCTGCCTTTGAGCGTTTCTATTGTTGTGTTAATGGTGCGCTGTTTTCTTGTTTTCTTGATACATGAATGTGCACTGTCCGGTTTGTCATTTCCAGTTGTTCTTCTTCTCTTTGTTTGCAGTTACGTTTTGGCTCCTCGACAGAACACACTGGTGGATGGGAACACGTGGACTCGGAGGCATCTTTTCCTTTTCTAGAATTATCCCTTTAATGCCTCGTTTGCATCGAAGGTTTAGGGTTAAAAGGACCCTCAAGCAGGGTGGAGGTAGAAGGGAGAGATTTTTTAGACCATTGTTGAAGGAGATAATCATTCTCAACCATGGGAGATAAGCCTTCCGATACTCCAATTCCTGATGGGTGGAAGTTCAAGAGTGAGGTCGGAAAGGACGGATCCACATCCTCGGTAAATACACACATGATTCCCAAGCTCTGTTCTTTATCTATTGATTTTCTTGTTCTGTTCTAGTTCTGAAGTGCTTTAATCAATATTCTCTACACATGCATGATTTGCATTACTGCTGTAATAGGTTTCAGTCTTGGTGGTAGATTGCCTTAGCTGATGTAATTCTCATTTTGCACATTATTCATATCAACTCTTAGTAGTTGAAATCTCATTTATTTTATATTTAACTGAAATCTCATTTATTTCGTTACTTAACACAAATCTCATTAATTTCTCTAATAATGATCTTATTGTGTTTTATTGTCGGAAAATTGATGTAATCTCATGTATTAGAATCAAAGTTTTCACCTGCATAAACTTAATCAATTGGGAAGTAGATATTATCTTTGGTGTTAGATTGACTTAGTTGATTTGGTTTTAAATCTATCGTGCAATAATTTATCCTTCTAATTGAAACATGCATGTTGGATTGCTTCTTGAATGTTCGGTGGCATTGTGTTTGATTGTATTCTTATTGAATGTAAACTTGCCTTTCTGGATTGAAAAGGAATAGTGTAGCTTTAGCCTTGTATTTTCTGTTTTTTTTGAAAAAAAATTAATCACTCTTCAAGGTAGCCTTAAGTGGAGTTTTAAGAGTATTTTAAAAACATTTCTGCAGAGTATTTTGAATCATAACATTTGCAGAAAGCAATTAGATTTCTTTCTTTTCTGTTCTCCACCATCTCATTCTCATAGTTTTGCAGCCCTTATGCAAATCCTGTCAAACTATCTTAAACATTTTCTTATCAAAGTAATAAAATATTTTTATATCCATGTATACATTATAATCAGACAGAGACGTGCGAACTAAAGCCTAACCAAGCTCATCCATTAGTCCCCAACTCAATCAACTTCTTATTCAGACCCAATTAAGAAAAAAGAAAAAAATGATTATTTGATTTGGATACTCTTCAGCGTGCATCTTGCTTTCATCTATATATCAAGTCAATCAATATAGTGTGATCCAAACTAATCGAGAATTCTAAAATTTATTCAATTACTTGATTCAAGTCAATACCCACCCACGTAATTGTATTGTGGAAATTAGAGTCTAAATTTTAATTTCTAGTAGGGGCAGATGATTCGTGGTCTTTTTTATGTCATGTCTATCTTGTATAAATATATGGCTCTATTTTGATTATATGGATCATCTTTTGCAATATCCCACACTCGTTCACTTTTGAAATATCTGCTTTTGGTAAAAGTTTGAAAAATCACACACATGTCATGGCACGTTAAAAGAAATCCGAATTATCAAATATGTGTTTTTTGTGGAATTAAACAGTCCAAGCTTTCAAGGTCAAGCTAATACTTAAGTCAAGTCATGGGAGGCAAATTACAAACATGACCCACAGGATGCAGTTGTATGAAACCATCTCAAGTCAAGTCAATACCTACAATAATTTTTAGCGTGGAACTCGGGATTCTCAAGTCTGTGAAGTTAAAGTCTTATGTGGAGCCACACATACAGAGTCTTCCAGGATGTGCTGCAGCAGCCAAATCTTATGTGGTCTGTGAACACAAACACCTTCTTGATCATCTGCTCTGCCTTCAATTTCTCATTCACAGCCACTTCCAGAATCAAATCACACACCTTCTGAAAATCAACACCCTGGTTGTGCTTGCTGATGCATGTCCTCATCATGAACTCGTACTTGGACTTGAGATCACCGCCTTGTAAGGAATGCAGCAGTGGCAGCTCATCGGGTAATGGACCAAGACTGATCACCTTTTGTTTCCATGCCGACTCTTCAGTCAGTTCAGACACCAAAATTCCCAAGCTCGCCGCCAATTCTATTATTGGTACGCCCATGAAATCAGTGATGTTACAAACTGCCAAGCAGTTTTTAAATTTGCCCGAACCCTCCTTCCCTTGCTTTTGCTTTAGGTACATGTCCTCCACCATTGCCTTCCACTGAAGCTCAGCTGCTTCACCGACATCCTTATCTTTTACATATCTTATGATATCATTTGGAAGCAATGCATTCGGCTTTATGATGCTGCTGCCACCTGCTTTCACCACCTCCAAATACTTCTTAACCACACAGGGCTTCCGAATGAAATACATGCGTCGATGATGCTCGTCCAAGGGCTTTAAAAACTCCGTTCTAAGGAGTTCCCACTCTTCTGATTGATCGGACTCTGGTGGGAAAAGTCTACTCCCAAGGCTTTCAAACAGCAAAACGGCGCGTCTGGTGTGGTTGTCTTCGCTGTTGTTGGGAGTGCAACAGACTGCAGCCCAGGTAGCAAAAAGAGTAGTACAATCTTCTTTATCATCATCTTCGGATGGCGGCTTCAATTCCAATTCCATCCTTAGCCCGTGCTGCTTCAATTTGTCAATATCAGACTTCAACTGCTCCGCCAAGAGATCCATAATGCGGTCGTGTAATAACTTATAGCCCGGGTCACGGTGGAGCCTCTGCGCCGCAGTGTCTTGGCCTTGTTGTAGAAGAAGGCTGTAGAGAATCTCGATAAGGTCCCACAAACGAGCTAACGAGCTGGAGCTGGCAAAAGAGGGAACATTGCATAATAGCATCTTGGGGTGATTGTGATGGAGCCAAAATGCGGCCGTGTAGAAGGCCTCTGGATAATGTTTTCCGGTTTGAACAGAGGCAGAATTGAGATTTGTTGAGTAGTCAACTAAATCCCAATACATTAGGGATTGATTAGCCAAATTATATGTAATTGATTTACTTTTCTTTATTAGTCTAGGAAACTTGTGTATAGATACCTTTGATACTGTAAAGAGATTTTATCGAGTAATCAAATATTCTTCAGTTGATTACAATTTTACATGGTATCAGAGCAGGAGAAACCCTAGCTCTTGTTTTTTTTCTCTTTGCCGTCAAAATCTCAGCTTCCTCCTTCTTTGTTTTTCATTAGTTCTTTGCCATGGCTAACGACAAAGAAATTGAAACTTCTTCTAAGGATGGAAACAAGTCTGATGTTTCCAACCCTTTTTTTATTCATCACTCAGACCACCCTGGCATGGTTCTTGTATCCAAGCCGCTGAATGGAGACAACTATGGGACATGGTGTCGCTCCATGCGAATCTCCTTGAGTGCCAAAAACAAACTTGGTTTTGTTGATGGCACCGTCAAGAAGCCCTCAAAGAAAACCAATCCTGACGAGTTCTCTCTTTGGCAACGTTGCAATGATATGATCCTATCTTGGATCTTGAATTCCCTTGATCAAGACATAGCTGATAGTGTCATCTACTCAGACACTGCTCATGAAATCTGGGAAGATTTGAAGGAGCGCTTCTCTCAAAGCAACGTTCCTCGAATTTTTCAGATACAACGTGACATCGCCTCCCTCACTCAGGATCAGATGTCGGTTGTTGCTTATTACACAAGACTTAAGGGGCTATGGGATGAATTGGTGTCATATAGTGATGTGCCGACTTGTACCTGTGGTGCCATGAAAGACCACGCTGAACGCGATGAGAGGAATCAGGTGATGCAATTTCTTATGGGTTTAAATGATTCATATGCTGCTGCTCGTGGACAGATTCTCCTTATGCAGCCACTACCTTCCATACGCAACATCTATTCCTTAATTTCCCAGGAGGAGAAGCAACGACAACTGGGGACTCCTCAGGCTGCCTTGGAACTTGCTGCAATGGCTGTTCGTCAACACCAGAGACCTTCAAATTCCAATCGCAAGCCTCTTCATTGCACTCACTGCGATCGGGACCATCACACAATTGATACCTATTACAAACTTCATGGCTATCCTCCCGGGCATCGACTGCACAAATCCAACATAAACAAGAAAGACTCAAGTTCCTCTGCCAATCACGTGCAGAACAATCCCACTACGCAAGAGTTGAAGTCTGCCATGCCAAACCTCTCTGACAGTGAGTATCAGCAGATTCTTACCATGATGAATGATAAGAAAGAGCCACAAGCAAACTCCGCAGGTTTGTCATGTTCCCCTTTACCTTTACATCGCTGGCTGATTGATAGTGGCGCAACAGATCATATTACATCCACTTCACATTCTTTTACATCCATACAAGCCAACCCTTCCATTCCACCAGTTGTATTGCCTAGCGGTGAAAAGTCTTCTATTATTTCCGTTGGGAATGCCTCTCTTAACTCATCTCTTTCTTTAAAAAATGTCTTGTATGTGCCCAGCTTCAAAGTTAATTTGATGTCAGTAAGCAAACTTACACAAGAACTTCATTGTTCCACCTCTTTTTTTCCTAATGGGTGCATTTTGCAGGACTTGGCTACGAGGAAGACGATTGGTCTGGGTAAACAGCAAGGAGGCCTTTACTATCTGGTTTCTTTGGCGTCAGACAAGCCTTCTCTTCTCCAACCATCTTGCAACCATGCTCATACCTCTCACCTCTAGCACAGCCGTTTAGGCCATCCATCATCTTCTCGTTTACAATTTTTAGCTAAGAATGTTTTGAATTTCCATTTTTCAAATAATGCTTGAGAGTTTTGTCCCTTGGCAAAGCAAACTCGATTACCTTTTAATTTAAGTTCAATTTCCTCTTCCAAACCATTCTCTCTTATTCATTGCAACATTTGGGGGCCTCATAAAACTGCATCTTTTTCAGGGGCTCGTTATTTTCTAACTATTGTGGATGACTTTACTAGGTTCACATGGTTATTTCTCATGCACCATAAATTTGAAACACAGAACCTGCTTAAATCTTTTTTTGCTTTTGTCCAGACACAATTCAATTCTAAAATACAACAAGTACGTGTTGATAATGGAGGTGAATTTTCTTCCATGCGTCATTTCTTCCATGAACATGGGGTCATCTATCAACATACTTGCGTCTACACACCCCAACAAAATGGTGTTGTAGAGCGCAAGCATCGACATATCATAGAGATGGCTAGGGCTTTACGTTTTCAAGCAAATCTCCCTATTTCCTTTTGGGGGGAGTGTGTTCTCACTGCCATCTACTTGATCAATCGTCTACCCACTGCCCTTTTATCCAATCAATCCCCCTATGAGAAGTTGTACCACAAACCTCCTTCTTATACTCACCTCCGCGTTTTTGGTTGTTTAGCCTATGCCACCATTGTCCAACCTTCCCATAAATTTGACCCTCGAGCCAAGCGTTGTGTTTTTCTCGGTTACCCTTTTGGTCAAAAGGCCTACAAATTATTTGATCTTACCACTCGAAAAAAATTTACCAGTCGCAATGTTGTTTTTCATGAGAGTCATTTTCCTTTCAAAAGTCTGCCCTCTTCCTCTCACACGGAACCTCCACCTCCTGTTTTACCTCTTCCTTTATCTGATTTGTCATCTTCTCCACTTATCTCTCCAGACCAACATTCACCACGTCCTCCATCTCCTTCCGCTCCACTCGATCTCACGACTCCTTTAGACACCGCTGTCCCCGTTTTTCCCTCCGATACCGTTGCTGCATCACCTCTATCACATCTTTCTCCCTCTGTACCACCAGCCCCCCTCCGCCACTCTCTTCGCCAAAGGGTTAAACCAACCCGTCTCCAAGATTATGTTTGCTCACAGGTCACTTTACCCATGCTTGACCAATCGTTGGACTCCTTGCCATGTCACACCAAAGGTACTCGTTATCCCCTTTCTAACTTTCTTTCTTATCATCGTTACTCACCCTCACATTTTACTTTCATTGCCAATATTAGTCGGCCAGTGGAACCTAACACTTTTGCAGTGGCTGTTTCTAATCCACACTGGCAAGAGGCCATGCAATCTGAACTTGCAACTTTGGAATCCAATTGGACTTGGTCCCTCACTTCTCTTCCTCCCGGGAAGCAACCCATTGGATGCAAATGGGTCTATAAAATCAAGCATCGCTCTGATGGCACCATTGAGCACTATAAGGCTCGTCTCGTGGCTACCATGACACATTTTCTCCTACTGCCAAGATGGTTTCTGTTCGGTGTGTTCTTGCTCTTGCCGCTACCCACAACTGGTCTTTGCATCAACTTGATGTCCACAATGCCTTCCTCTATGGCGATTTACATGAGGAAATCTATATGTCACCTCCTCCTGGTCTTCGGCGACAGGGGGAGCATTTGGTATGTTGCCTTCACAAATCCCTGTATGGATTAAAGCAAGCATCTCGCCAATGGTTTTCTAAGTTCACTGAAGCCATACAAGCTGCTGGTTTCACTCAGTCCAAAGCCGATTATTCGCTCTTTACCTGCTGTTGAGGCCCAAAAAAGTCACGAGAAGCCCAAAGACATTTAAGGCCCGATATAAAATATAATGTTGGTCATGCATTAATCTAAGCTGGATTTTGGGAATTAATTCATTAAATAAATAATAGTGTCCATGCCATGCGAAACCAATAATACATTTTTCATATATCAATCACTTATCAAGCTCACATGAACCCAAGTCATGTGGTTTACGGGGCTTGCATGAGGGATTGTGGTGTGGAAGGTTACGGAGGTCCACAAGGCCCACGGAAGCCCTTGGATAATGGAGACTTTGGGCTAGCTACTTGGGAGCACCAAAGTCCAAGCCCATTACTAAGAGTTCTCCAATGTGGGTAAGCAAATGAGATATTTTCCAAGCATTTCCTTTTATCCATAGGAAATAGTCATTTTCCAAATACCTAGCTTTACCCATTGGAAACAAGCCTTTTCCAGCACTCCCTATTACCCGTTGGAAACAAGCCTTTTCCAGCACTTCCTATTACCCGCTGGAAATAGGCCATTTCCAGCGCTTCCTTTTACCCATAGGAAATAATCAGTTTATGGTACCTAGCTTCGCATGCTGGAAAATAGCATGCCCCAGCGCTCCCTTTTACCCATTGTAAATAGGCTGGTTCCAGCGCCTCTCTTTGCCTATTGGAAATAAAGGAAAACCCCCACCATCTATAAATTAAGAGGCATTTGCTGAGCAAAATGAGTTTTCTCTTGGTGGCTGCAAGCTTCTCAGCAACCATGAGAACTCATCTTCCTTCCTCATTTCAGCCGCTGCAAGCGTTCCAGCGGCCATCCCAGCCTTTCTTCAACCATCGACCCTTCCTTCAACTGCTGGAGCAGCACAACAACTTCTTGTTTTGGCTGCTGCAAGCATCCCAGCAGCCAGCAACCTCCTTCAACCATCACACCTACTTCCTAGTTGTTGCAAGCACCCTAGCCATAACCTTCTCTCCTTGAAATCCATCACCTTCTCTATAAAGCCCCACTAAGCATAACTCCAAGCTTTTCCTTCCTTCCAAGCTATAAACATCATAACCTTCAAATCTCAAGCTTTTACTCTCATCAAGCCAAGCACATGCATTCTCATTTGCTAAACTCGCGGATCTTTAGCTCCCACACTCCAAGCTCTCATGCCAAGCTAATATAATCTCAGATCTACATCAGCAAGTCATCTTCAACTTTTCTTCAAGCTGCTGGAAACGTCAACATCAAACACGCAGCCGCTGGAAGAAGAACAGAGTACCCCCTGGGACATGCTTTTCCCTCGGGATGCTTTGGGCCTAGTCCTCGCTAACTCAGAAAAAGGGGCAACGAAGGCTTAATCCACCACTCTATGGCGGTTCGAGAATCAACAAGCCCAGACGAGCCTTCCGACGGAAAAAGACCCCAACACTTGCAAAAATGGCAAGTCATTCACCGTTCTTTTGATTTACGTCGATGACATCATGATTACAGGAAATAATTTGCCTACCATTAATGCTCTCAAGCGATT